GGGTCACACGGAAGCTGCCACTACCTGGCCCTTTGTGAAGCCTCGTATTTTTTGTGGACTCTGTTCTCCTGTGTACCTATTTTATGTCAATTTAATCCACAGCCCAGTTAAACATCCTAGGCAGGTACAAGGAGTACGTTTCCTTCCTTTAGAGCCATAAAAGGGGTGAGGCTGTGACACACGCCACAGTGTGGATGAATGTTGAGGGTGCCGTGCTCGGTGAGAGACACCAGACAGAGGACACACAGCGTGGGCTCCACAGACAGGAAATGCCCAGGACAGGCGAGCCCAGAGACTGGAAGTGGCCTCGGGGTGCCTGGGCATGGAGGGGACGGTGACTGCTCACCGGGATGGGACTTTCTTTGCAGTGATGGAAAGTTGTGGAATTAGAGCTGAAAGCTGCATGACATTGCACGGCATTGTGCTGAAACCTCCGCACAGCCCTGAGCTCTGTGGACGCGAGGGTGTCGGGGATCTCAATAAACGTGGAGTCCAGGTGGAGGCTGGGGACATTCTGTGCAAGGACCCCCACCCTGCATGTCACCTGCACATGCCCTGCTCCCAGGGCTGAGAGCGCCTATGTCCAGACTCTGCCTAGGTCCCCAGTGCTGGCCGGTGCCGCCCTCTGCTGGCACCTGTGTCCCTGCCTCAAAGCCATCTGTGGTGGAGGAGCTTGGAGAGGCCACCTGAGCTTCAGAGGTGGGACGAGGCTCACAGGGTTTTTCTGTGTTTTTGAGACAGAGTGTCACTATGTAGCCCAGGCTGGCCTTGAAGTCACAGTGGCCCTCCTGCCTCAGCCTTCTGAGGGCTGAGATTATAGGTGTGCACCACCTTGATTGGCCCTCAGATTGTTTTTTGGATGCTGGGGGCTGGAAGCCAAGGCCTCCCACACTCACTGAGCTGTACCCCCAGGCTTCCTGATGGTTCATCACAACTTGTCCCCTGTGCCACCCTACTCCTGCTCCTCTCCATCCCTCCCCATGACACTTGGATGGGCAGATGGATGGATGGCTACTTGTTGATGGATGGGCGGAACCTACACTTCCCATCTGTTACGGCTTGTGTCTAGATGTCCCCCCAAAGCCTCATGCAATCACAGAGTTTTGGGAGGTGGCTGGATCTAGGATGTATGATGCTGGAATTAAGGGCATGTGATCACTAAATTATTCCACGGATGGGTTTAGCATAGTCCTGGGTGTAGATAATGGGAGGCCCACCCTGAGTGTGGATGATACCATCCAAAAGGTGGGTAGCCTGATAGCATATAAAGGGACAGAAACAAGCTGCTCTGGGGCTGGGGATTGAGCTCAGTGGCACAGTGCCTGCCTGGCAAGCACGAGTTCGTGAGTTCGATTCCCGGTACTGGAAAAAAAACAAAAAAACAAAAAAAAAGAAAGAAGCTGCTCTGCTACTTTGCTCCTTGCTGCCTTCTACCTTCCCTGCTTTGCCATGAGCTGTTTCTCCTCTGTGTTGCCCTTCTGCTGTGCCACCCTGCCTTGGAGGCAGCTGACTATGGACTGAAACCTCTGTGAACTGTGAGCTGAAATAAACCTTTCCTCCCTTTTTTTCTTCTTCTTTTCTTCTGATATGTTTGAGACAAGTTATGCAGTTCAGGCTGGACTTGAGCTCACTTTGTAGCCCAGGCTGGCCTCAAACTCTCAATGATTCTCCTGCCTCAGCCTCTCAAGTGCTGGGACTACAGGCGTGCACCACCATGCCCCGCCTCCTCCTTTGTCAGTATTTTGTCTCAGCAGTAAGAAAAGTAACTGAGGTATCATCATATTAAACCCCCAACTCAGAGAAGATCTATTCTGCCCCAGCCGGCAGAGCTCTGGACTGCCTTCACTTCCCTCCGCCTCACACTCCCAGGCTCTCGGCCAGCCCCGCCTGGCCTTGGGCTTTGGGAAGTGCCCCACTGGGCAATGCAGTGGGCTCTTCACAGCCTGAGCCTCGGTTTCTTGCTCCACAACATGGGTGTGTTAACAGCCCCAGCTCCTGGCCCCCTGTCCTGACTGCAGCCCTGGGCAGAGCAAAGAAGGGGCACCAGGTCTCAAAGGCCCCCAAGAGCTGGAGGAAGCTCACCCTGCACGGTTCCAAGGGTTACGTGGGGAGGGGTGCAAGAGTTCTGGTTCTTGTTGCTTTTCTGTCAACACCCAAATCAATCAAGATGAGAAAGAAATTTCATTTTTCTTCCGAAGTGACCTCACCTCCACATCAACTTCATAGGGTGTTTTCACCCCAGCCCCACCAGAAGGTTCCAGTCTGCAGAGGGGTACAGCCATCCTCTCCAAAATGAAGCTTGTGCCAGGCATGATGGCGTATGCCTGTCATCCCAGCACTTGGGAGGCTGAGGCAGGGGGATCACTGTGAGTTCAAGGCCAGCCTGAGGGGCATAGTGAGACCCTGTCTCAACAACAACAAAAAAAAGCTTGTGCCCCGACCAACCTCCTGCACTATTTTTTTTTTTTTTGTCTTTTTTTGAGACAGGGTCTCCCTGTGCAGTTCAGGCTGGCCTTGAACTCACTTTGTAGCCCAGGCTGGTCTCAAACTCCCAACAATCCTCCTGCCTCAGCCTCCCGAGTGCTGGAATTAGAGGGGTGCACCACCACGCCCGGCATGCACTTTGTTTTTAAATAGTTTTAAATTTTTGTTGTTGATTCAGGGTCTATCTATGTAGCCCAGTCTGGTGGTGAACTCCCAGTGATCCTCCTGCTTCAGCCTCCCAAGTTCTGGGATGACAGACTTGCAAAATATTCTATTTTTTGACTATGTGCTCCTCACAGATGGCACGAAATTTAAGAAGTTATCAGCAGACAGTGAACCTCCCTCTCACCCTCCTACCTTCTCATGAACCCCTTACAGTCACAGCAAGTGCAAACGTATTTTTCCTTCTCTTTTTGGCAGTACTGGGGATTGAACCCAAGGCTTTGCAGTGAGCTACAGCCCAGTCCTTTTTTATTTTTGAGATATTGTCTCACTAAGTCACACAGGTCGGGCTTGCATTTGTGATCCCCCTGGCCTCAGCCTCCTAGAGCCACTGGGATTACAAGTGTGTACCACTACATCCAGCTACAAGGACATTTTTTGTTTTGTTTTAAGGAATTTTTTCTTGTTTGTTTATTTTCCGGTACCGGGAATCAAACTCATGACCCTGCACTTGCCAGGCAGGCACTGTGCCGCTGAGCTAAATCCCCAGCCCGCCCCCTTTTGTTTTGTACCGGGCATCAAACTCGGGACCTCATGCTTGCCAGGCAGGCGCAATTCCACTGAGCTAAATTCCCGGCCCTCTTAAGGAAATTTTTATAGATTCTGTTAGAAATTCTCCAGGCTGTCTCCTAATTTGTTTTTGAGGGGACTGTGACATTCACAGCCCCACCCTGCACACAGGTGCGCACCTCTTCCGGAGGTTTCCTCACCCACAGCCTTCACAGGGTCTCCAGGGGGAGTGTGGCCCAGTAGTGAGCACCTGCCCAGCAACTGCGAGCCCCTGCTCCTGTCCCCAGCGCCCTGGAAAAGTGTTTCTAAAGACAGGAGCTTATGAGATAATACATCACATGGTCACACCCAAGAAGTTAGCAAGTATTCCACACTGTCAGTGTGCAAACTCTTGTCTCATCTGTATGATCAGTGAGATGTTTCCTTTGTCTTTGTAAAGACGGGGATCTTGATATGTAATCCAGGCTAGCCTCAAATTCACGGCAACCCTCCTCCCTCAGCCTCCCAAATGCTGAAATTACAGCCGTGCACCAAGCCCAGCTTTGTTCTTTCCTTCCTTCCCTCACTTGGTCCCTCCCCCTTTTTTTAGGGGGGCATAGAACCTAGACTGCTTGCTTAACTATACTTCTACCTCTTTGAGAAAGGATCTAAGTTGTCCAGGCTGGCCTTGAACTTGTGATCCTCTTGCCTCAGCCTTCCCAGTAGCTCAGCGTCCAGTAGGGGTTACAGGCGTGTACCAGTGTACCTTTTTCTGTGTGCTGGGGAAGGAATCCAGGGCCTGTGAAGGGAGTATGTCCCAGCCTGCCTCTTACTTTTTCTTTTGGTATCTGTGATTAAATCAGAGCCTTTGCACTGAGCTACATCCCCAGCAAACCCCCCGCTACCCCAACTTTGAGACAGGATCTCGCCAAGTGGCTATGTTGTTTTGGCTGGGCTGGAACTTACGATCTTCCTGCCTCAGCCTCCCAGAGCACTGGGATGACAGTGGGAACCACACCCAGCTTTTCCTTGTGATATGTTTTGTTTTTTGTCTTTTTGAGACAGGGTCTCACTATGCAGTTCAAGCTAGTATTAAACTCACTTTGTAGCCCAGGCTGGCCTTGAACTTGCAACAATCCTCCTGCCTCAGCCTCCCAAGTGCTGGGATTACAGGTGTGTGCCACCATGCCCAGCTTATTGTGATAAAAAGATCGACAAAACTTATGTTAACCATCTTTGCAGATAAAGCTCCAAGGCCTTGAGCTTGTTCACATGGCTGTGAACCATCCATCCCCACTTGTCTGAGAAACTCTCACCTTTCCAGCAGATGCTACGCCCACTATACACTAATCCCCCGTCCCCACTGGGCTCATCTGTACTTCTGTGACCACCACAGAGTACAGGGCCACACAGCTGAGGAGGAGGTAGGCTGGGGTGTGGCCTGGGTGGCCCCATGCTGCCAGGGTCCAGGCTCTAAGAAAGGACAGAAACTGCATGGTGTGGTGGCGCAGTCTGCAACTCTAGCACTCTGGAATGCTGAGGTGGGGGTGGGGGTGGGAGTGTGTGCCCAAGACCAAGTCCCACTGAGACAACTTAGACCCTGATTCAAAGTAAAAAGGGGTGGGGATGTGGCTCAGGGCAAAGGTCCTGAGCTCACTCTCTAGTGCGACAGAACCCCTTGTCCCCCCTCCACCTCCCAGACTGCTGACTGACCCCAGATCTGGCTGCTGTGGTGGCCGAGCTGGCCTGTAGTCCTTGGTGACAAGGAGCCCCCGGCTACCTCGTGCGCTCAGAGTGCACCTGCCTCCTCATAAGCAGTTTTATTTAGATTCAAACAAACCGAAGCAGAAGAGAGGGGCCACAAGTCATTGGCCACACATCACTGGATGCTGAGTCTGCGGCTCTTCGCTGTGAGCTGCTGGGCAGCAGGTCCTGACCCCTGCGTCACCTGACCCATCCTAGCCTGCCCGCCTGTCCCCATCTGGCTTCCAGGGCCCCACTGGGCCCTGCCAGTCCCTGAAGCCCAGGCCTTGGGCCGCCACTGTCCCCTGAAGCAGAGGCAAACTCAGAACATGGGGGGAGGGAGGGACCCAAGCGCCACCCACCAGGAGAGGGACTACGCGAGCTCCGTGAGGTAGTCCGTGGGCTGAGCCCACCAGGCCGGTCGTGAGGTAAAATCTGAGAGTTTATTTTGCGGGGCGCGGCGTCAGGACCCCTCGTTGTCAGAGCTGTCCTCGTCCCCAAGGCAGCTGCCGGCCTCCTCATCTGCCTCGCCGTCCTCGTAGTAGTCGTCGTAGAAGAGGTCTGTCCCCTCGTCAGGCGCTGGCGCCTTGCTCTTCACGCAGTACTCGGCCAGCGTGGTGGGCACCTTCACACCGTCACGCTCTGCATCCACTTTGGTCCCCAGGACCTGCTTCCTGGGGGGACAGGGAAGGTGAAGACACCGCTAGGGCCCGGCCCCCACTCCTGCGCGTTATACACTAGCCAGGACCGCAAGGAGATGCTGGGGAGAAGGCGGCAGCACTGGACCCCTCAACAGCAACACAGTCTGCTCAAGGAACCCGGGCAGGTGGCAGCCCAGCTCTCGGGAGCAGGAAGGAGGCAGGCCTGGGCCAGGCCGCAGACACGACCTGCACGGGGAGGGAGGTGACACCCAGCGCCCAGAACGGGAGACACCACCAAGCTAGGTCCCGGTCTGTGTGCCACCTGGCCCGGCAGAGGAGACAAGATGGAAATGCAGGCAGAGGTGCCACTGCGGTGCCCAGGCAGCTGGGGACTCGGGTCCCCGTGGCCCCAAGCAGGAAGGGCTAAGGGGGATGGACACAGAGTCCTTCCTGTAGAGACAACAGCAGGCAAGGATGGCACAATGGGCAGGGCTGAGCCCAGCCTGGTAGCACCTGAGGCAGACGCCACGCCCCACGGGCTCTGTGAAAGGCGCTTTCTACCAGAGCCCGCTCCTGTGTCCCTGACCAGGCCAGGCCTCTGGCTCTGTGGCCCGTTGGAACCGTGCAGGGACATGGGTTATTTCGAGGCTGAAACCCGCACTTTCAGATGCAGACAGCAGCCGCTGCAGCCCCACGTGGGCACAGAGGAGCGGCCCACAGGGAGCGCAGCAGATAAAAATAGTCCGGGTTTGATTTCTGCTCTGGGATGGGGGGGCATGGAGGCAACCGGGGAGGACTGGGTTGGAGCCGACCATGTGGGCCTTGGGTTCGCCGGGGGCTGGTGGGGCCCGCAGCCACCAGGGGTGTCCCCAGGGGCAGGCAGGTGGGAGGTGGCCAGGAGAGTGGCTAGGACAGCCAGCACTGCACAGCGTCCACCACAGCCCCCACCAGCTCGTCCAGGACAGTTGCCCGGGACACCTGGTGCCATCGGCTCTGGTGACAGCCAGGAGGCAGCACTGCCCACTGACACACACACACAGGCACGTTTGGCAAATACATGCAGACCCTATGTGCCCACACGCATGGCTCAAATTTAGAGTTCTTCTTGCACGAGCACCACAGAACCAGTGACAGAGAGCCGGGTGGGTGGTATACGCCTGTCTTCTCAGCACTTGGGGGGTGAGACAGGATTGTCACAAGTTCAAGGCCCGTCTTTCTCAAAAAAACCAATCTCCCTTGAAAAAACAACAAACGAATCACAAATGGAGACAGGTTAGCCTGCACCAGTGAGTCTACGCGTGCATGAATCGCATGAGTGACTCTAAGGGCCCATGTGATTCTATTCAGAGAAAACAGAAGCAGGGACGGAGGGTTTCCCGGGGGCCTCTGCCTGTCCCCACGTGTGTACTGCATCTGTGCCTAGAAGACACCAAGGACAGCTGGGCATGGTGGCGCACGCCTGCGGTCTGAGCTGTTGCGGAGGCTGACCCAGGAGGCTCCCAAGTTGGAGGCCAGCCTGGCCACCCTGGCAAGACAAAAAGTGCTGCAGGTGCAGCTGAGTGGTAGAGTGCTTCCCTAGCACGCGAGGCCCTGGGTTCCATGCCCAACACCTCACACAAAACCAAACCAAAGCAGACACCAAGGACCAGCTACAAACTGCAGAATGTGGACGGAGGGCAGCTCAGCTGGAGAAGCACAGGGTGGACCCTGGGGTGAGGGAAATCGGACACCTGGTGGTGGCCCCCACGTGGGGGCTGCCACGGGGGCACAGGACATTGCCAGACAGTGGGCTGCCGAGGCTGTTCACTTCACGCGCTCCCTCAGCAGCCCTGCCTGATGTGGTGGCCTGTACAGCACCAGTGTGTTATGGATAAAAATACATGTGAAGTCATTTATTTGTACTTGAAGCGCTGAAAATGAGGCATTAAACAACACCTCAGCCTCCCTTGAGTAAAATTTTAAAATTCTGAAAAAGCTAGGCATGGTGGTGCACATCTGTGTTCCTGGCGCTGAGAGGCTGAGGCGGGAAGATAACAAATTTGAGTTGCTCTCGGGCAAGTAAGTGAGAGATTACATCTCAATATAAAGAATAAAGCCTTGGTCTCTGGGTTCAAGTCTCTGTCCCACCAAAAATAAAACCTCACTCAAGATACCAGAAGACCTTCACCAATGGGGTGGAGGAATTTTCGGCTCTACCTGTGTTCTCATGCCGGAGCGCCCCTCTGCAGCACCCGGGGTGGAGCTCTGCCCCATCCCACGTCCTCATGGCCTCATCTGCATCCTGCCAGTCAGGGCCCACAGGCCAGGGCTCCTGCTAAGGCGCGGGCACCCCGCCTGCCTCTGCTGGCTCCTGCCTGGCCTTGCGCTGCTGAGTGGGGTCTTGCCCAGGCAGGGACAGACACAGTGTCCACCTCTCCCTGGCCGCAAGGAGCTGTGAGCTGCTGCCAGCACGGGGAACAATGCAGCCACTGTGTGTGTTTTTGGGTCAGGGCTGGTGTGGACGTGCCTGGCTCCTCTTGGGAGGAGCAGCTGGGGTGTGAGGTGTTATTTCTGATTAAAAGGTGAAGAATAAAGTGAAAAGAAACCTGGAAAAACCCTGGTGAACAGCTAAGTCCATCAGACAATGTGCCAGTGGAGCTGGGGGTGTGGCTCCGTGCTGAGCGCTGGCCTAGGACGTGGGAGGTGCTGGGTTCCCCCACCAGCACCAAAACACAGAACAAAACGAAACAAAACTACCAACCCCAAAACTGCAGAGACAAGGAGCCAGTGCACCCGGCTGAAGTGTCAATGGGCAGGGCCAAGGAGACCTCCACCCTCTTCCCCTGACCCACGTCCCACCTAGGGACGCCACCTGCTTTCCCTGTGGGGGACAGCTACAGGCTGGGCTCAGATGAGAGAGCTGGGCTGCGCAAAGCCTGCACAGCGAGTGGCTTCTATACCAGGAGTCCCCACAGGGAGGGCCACAGGTCTCTCCTCCTCTGGAAAGGTGTTCCAGTTTCAAAACCACAAATATGGCCGGTGTGGTGGTGCACGCTTGTAATCCTAGCACTCGGGAAGCTGAGGCAGGAGAGAGGCTGAGGCAGGAGGATTGCTGAAAGTTTGAGGCCAGCCCGGGCTACAAAGTGAACTGAATAGTGAAACTCTGTCTCAAAAAGACCACTCCCAAATATCAAGACCACAAATAAAAGCCATGTTTAGGTGACAAACTGAAAAAAGTGCCTAATATGTGACCTCAGGCACACATGAAGTGGATGTTGAATATATTAGCCCTGTGTGACAAGGCCACCATCTCGAGGACAGCGGCCCAGGCGTGCAGGGGCTCAGTCATGACGCAACGTGTGTGAAGCAATGACCCTGGTGGCCTCCTGGGTGTGCGTGTGGACAGGTGTGCTGCGCACGTGAGTGTGCCTCACGGCACACACTGCGCTCCCCCATGGCCAGGCCCTTCACAAGTGGAAGGAAGCAAAGCTGCGCCTCCCCTCCCCCAGTTTTCTTTCTTTCTCTCTTGTTTCTGTGTTCTCTGGCCTTGAACTCACTGCCAAGCCCCCTCCTCAAGCTCCCAAGTGCTGCGATTCTTGGAATCCGCCACCACGCCTGGGCGGCCCCCGCTTTTCAGGGAAGAGAAGGAAAGAGGCGAGGTGGGCCGGGCTGGCCGGCCGATTCTCACCGGATGATGTCTGTGTACTCGCGGTCTTTGCCCTTGCTCTCCTTCCACTTCCTGTACATCACCGAGGCGTCCACGTTGGCCGGCGAGAAGGTGTTGGGCTCGTTCAGCAGGGAGATCACGCTCAGGAGGATGGTCCTGGGGGAGTGGTGGGTCAGGGGAGGGGACACTGGGACACAAGAGCCTCCACCCTAGAGCCCAAGGAGCCTCAAGCGTGGGTGCGGTGGGGGACGCTGCAAGGGACGGGGCCAGGGACAGGCAGGCGCCCTCACCTGACATTCTGCGTGGGGTTCCACCGCTCCGAGGGCAGCTCCCCACTCTGGGGGTCGTCGACTGGGGGGTGCAGGATGGAGATGCACACATCCCCTGTCTGCGGGGAGAGAGAGCAGCAGAGCTCAGCTGGTCCCGGCACCGCCAAGCACGGGCCGCAGGAGGTGGGTGTGCGCGCGGGTGGCGAGTGCGCGTGCATGTGTGTGTGACTCTCCTCACTGGGAGGTAAGTGCGTGTCTGCGCCTGAGTCTGCGCGTGTGCAGGTGCATGCGTGGTGGCGTGGGCTCACCTCATAGATGTTTGGGTGCCACATCTTGGTCAGGAAGCGGAAGGCTGGTGGCGAGTACGGGTAGTCGATGGGGAACTTGAGCCGTGCCTGAGGGGCAGAAAGCAGGGTGCTCAGAGGAACCAGACCCCCCAAGACCTGCTTGCAGACGGGCGTTCAAGGCCCACCAGCACTGGTGCCTGAGGGATACGTCCCCAAAGAGACAGGGACTTCCCATCTGTCATCCACATCAGGCTACTTTGGCCTTTTCAGAGTCACATTGGCTGATCAAGCACAGCCACTTGAGAACATGGGTGCCGGCTACCTGGGCGGCCCTGACCCAGGCCCCTTTCAGCAGGGGCCACTGGCTGGCAGGGGCTCCAGGCCACCCTCGCAGCCCTGTGGCCCACAGAGAGCCTGGTGTCCAGGCTGAGGGAGGGCTGGCATGGACTCATTCCCCTGGCTGCGGGGGAGCTGAGTCGGCAGGCCCCTGGGGGAGACGTGTTCCATGTCACTGCCTCGTCCTGCCCACACAGCCAAGGGTGGCCACAAGGGAGGATCTGAGCCACCTCCCCAAGTCAGACCTAAGCCTGTGGCCAAGAGCATGACTCTGCCCACTGCTCTGAGGGCCTCAGCAGGTAAACAAGGGACCTCTGCTGTTTCCCTGGGGATCCCCGGCTACTGGCCAGGGCCCTGGAAATGTTTTAAGCTCTAATAGGTGGAGGGCAGCCTTCCCACCCCTCAGTCTTTAGAAAGCCCTAGAAACTTGCTCTCTGGGCACCCTCTGGGCTCCAGCATGAACTTGCCCGTGGCTTGACCACCTGGACTCAGGTCTGAGCACTGGTCGAGGTTCCTCAAGACTTCAAGGCCTCCCGAATCCAGGGTTGGGGTCTAAGCCTCTGTCCTCAAGAGCCATGAGGCAGGCAAAATTGGCCTTAACCGTGCCCAGGGCCAGTGTCTCCTTTCGAGCGTCTCTAAAGCTGTTGGTAAGGCTGAGTAAACTGAGGCTGAGGGAAGGAAAGTGCCCAGCCTAGAGGTGCACAGCAAGTGAGCCGTGAGAAGGGCGCGTGCTGTCAGACAGGACGCACACTGGCCTGCCTGCAAGGAAGGCGCTTCTGGAAGCAGCTAGGAAGCGATGGCGGCCTTGGGCACCCCACGATTTTCCTATTTCCACATCTTCTTTGCAAGACCCAGCCACCCACAGCCGAGACAGGAGGGTTCTGGTGGGTGGCAGAGCCACCCCGGGCTCCACACTGGCTCCCGAAGACAGAGCTGCGGCAGATGCCCACACGTGGCGGAGACCCTCCCCAACCTGCTCTGGAAGGAGGGCTAAGCCCGTAATGCCAGGCTCTGTCACGATCCTTTCTAGCTGAGGACCTCTGAGCATTCCTTCCACAACACAGCAGCACCAGGGCCCTGGCCTCAGGGTGGAACTTGGTCACCCCTGCTCTGAGCTGAGCCCAGGCTGCTCCCTCAGGCAGACAAAAGGAGCTGGACGGAGCTGCTGCTTACACAGTCTGGCGACTTCAAAAGTTTCTACGCCTAGACTCTGTTTTGAGTCCTGAGGTCCCACCCTGTTGTGTAACTCGGAACTGAAGCTCAAGAATCTCTCCCCAGGCCAGCAGGGTGTCCCATGTCTATAATCCCAGCACTCCAGAGGCTGAGGCAGGAGGATCATCAGGAGTTGGGGGCCACCCTGGGTTACACAGTGAGTTCAAGGCCAGTGTGAACTACATGATGAAACCCTATCTCAGAAAACCAGAATAAGTAAATAAACAACTGAATAAAAGAACAGCTCCCTAGCAGACAGTGCCGCTCCCCTTACAGTCAGTGGGCAGGTGTGGTGCAAACACAGACACCTGTGCAGGCCGCCTCTGCAGCACACCTGTGCAGTCCTGGCTTTGGCTTCTGCTCCTTCCCACAGGCTCCCCTCCTCACAGGTAGGGAGACCCCGCCTCGTCGTTCTGGCTCTAGAACAGGGTCCCGTGTCCCTGAAAGGAGTCCCAGGCCTCAGCTGGGCTCGGTTTGCAAGGTCAGGAAAACTGCCCTGATTTTTGCCCTTGTTCTTTGCCACACCGCACAGAAACAACACAGCCACTCCGAGGGCCAGAGCCGGGCTCCCTGGCCCCAGCAACAAAACACCAAAGCCTCGCTCAGCCTCAAACCATCCGAGAGGCAGAAGGAACGGCCCAGAAACCAAGATCTGGGCCCCAAGAAGCCACCTGCTCAGGGGAACCAGAGAGAGGCAGTCAGGAGTGACAGGGGATCCCCGGGTTGCTCCCGGGAGGGGAAGGGCAGCAGCCCGGGGTGCGGCTGGGGGGCCAGTGTGGGCGCGGCGGCCCTGGCCTCCACCCTCGCGAGGGCACAGGTTACATAAAACCAGGGAGGGGCCCGCTCTGGGGAAGGATGGCCGCTTTCCAAACAGGTCCGGCTGCCAAGCCCCATCCGGGCCCCTGCTGGAGCCGAGCAGTGGCCGCGCTAGCCGTCCCCAGTGCCCTCTTCCCGGGCGTCAGGTTAGCGAGCGCTCGGACCCGTACAAAGCGAGGGGCCCCGCCCGCCCTCTGGGTGAAGGAGGGAGCCTGGGCTGCTGCGGGGTCCTCGGGAGCCCGGGGAGACCGCTGCGGCGACGGACAGCGGCGGGGACGGGCAAGGGAAGGAGCCGGGGACGCAGGGGAGACCGAGGCTGCTCACCTTGAAGTAGCCGCCCTCGTAGTAGGTGTTGGGTGGCCCGAAGATGGCCACCTCCCAGTTGTACAGGTCGCCCTCGTCCACCAGAGCCACGCGGAAGCCCTCCACCGGCTCCTCCTGCAGCCCCTTGAGCTCCAGCAGCAGCGCCTTCTGGGAGCTGGGCACCAGCGGCCGAGCCATCGCGGCGGGCGGGGCGGCGGCGGCGGCGG